TAGTTTGCTCCTGCAGGTGAACAGTATACGCCTGTCCTAGACTGTTGGGCACAGGACTGACAGCCCACATCACTCCAAGATCCAGGTCCCACAGCCTTTCCTGAGAAGAAGAAAGGGTCACAGGTGGCTCTAGAGTCTGCTGGTCCCCCTCCTCTTTAAGGGCTCGAATCTGCTGAAAGTGAGAGTGACATGCATCTCCCTGAGTTGGGTCTATCCCTAAGACTTGAAGAGATAAAAGCACGTAAGGAATAGTGTTCATGACCTTTTCTATTGCTGGTGCCTGCTCTCTTGCTGATCCTGACTGTTGGTGTCCATCTGCCAGTCTGTGGGTCATACCTCCATGGATGTGCTAGTCTCCTTGCCTCAAGCCTAACAGCTCTCCCCCAGCTCTGTTTCACCTAATCTTCAAAGCTGAGCTCCCGCTCACAATGGCTCCACCTTGGCCATACCCATTAGCGAGGGGGGTGTTTCCCTAATGAGCTACTCCCCTGTCTTGGCTGGCGCCAAGCTAGCCACACCTGTTTGCCATCAGGGCTGTCTGGGCCCCGCCAGAGTGGCTCGTCTGCAGGTGGTAGGGCTGAATGAGGGGTGGGGTGGGAAGACTGGGCTCCTTTTGCTTTGCGCTGTGTGCTTGGGGGGCAGTCTCTTACAATCCTGTTCCACCTATATTGTTCCCTTCTTTCTAAGCAAGGGGAGGGCTCTGTGCTTTCTTTTTTGTTATCCAAAAGGAGTAATAGGGGACTTGAGTACCCCATCTTTTCTAACTTTCTCCTGGATGGAGTAGTGAGGAGCAAGTCAGAGTCTGAGAATAGGGTTTGATATTCTGTTCTGAGGACCCTGAGGGGCCAGTGTGATAAGAGCAGGGCCACAGGCAAATGCCAAGGGTGGAGCCCCTTTCTGGCTCTATTTGAAATGCAATCATGTGCCTCAGTTTAGAGCCCACAGGCATGACTGGGGGGCCCTTCCTTAAAGGGGCCCCTTGCATTCATGAAACTGAAGGAAGTTTTGATTTGGTTGAAAAAAATCTCATTCCTTTTTATGGCCTGGACATAATTGGCTTTTTTCTATTGGCCATCAGTGATGTCATTCCGACCCTCATAAAGAAGGGGAAATCACACCTGTGGACTCGGTGCATAAAATTTCATTGGGCAACAGTAATAAGCATGACCAGATGATGTTTGGGCAGTTGGGGAGCTTTGTGCCCAGTGAATCCAGCTGCACGGAGACCTGGGCACCATAAACCTGCTTGCACATTCGTGCCCACAGGCTAGTCCAGGGCCCACTGCCAGTGGCTCTTTTCTTGGGATCAGTATCTGGTAAGAACTTACAGCATTCAGATCCTTTCTGTCAGGGGGTCTTTTGCCTTTTTCTTTCCAAATTGTTGGAACCATGTACTCCCTGGTCCTTGCTGATCCTAGTCTTTGGCTTCTAAAGACCTTGAACCCAGGTATTACCTTGAGCAGTAACTATCATGCTACCTGCCTCTCTAAGGCCCCAGGCTTTCCTCCCCGGGAATGTAAAGAGCTCCAAGTGCATCTTACCCAACTGATGCCTGTGCAGTCAAGCCTTAGATCCCATTTCTAGTTCTACCTTTGGCTTGTTGTATGATTGAGCAAATCCTTCTTCTCTGAGCCTCGGTTTCCTCTTTTGTGTAAGGGGTGACAACCACTGTAACCCACCGTCCTCACAGACGTCATCTCGGTGTTCTCTAAGCTGGGGTAGGGGTGTGTGATAGAGATGTGTAGCTACCTTCCAACGAGGCACCTGGGAGTTCAAGTTTTGGCATCTGGCTCTGTGCCTGTGGCAAAGATGGGGCTGGGCCCTGCTACGTCTGTACTGCTTATATCTTGGAGTCACAGGGCTAGGACCACCTGGAGGACTACTCAACAACCTGAATGCCCGTAAGTGAGTCTGCAAACTGCGTGGGTACCTGCAAGTGACTAGAGCCCCTGAATGAGAATTGTAGTCCCCATGTGCCCCCAGTGAGACATGGGGTACAGAAGGGTGCTCAGGATTGCTGCTGAGTCATATCTAAGTCTGAGTATCCAGCCTGACAATCTGTTTGGTCTGTCCTCAAGGTGGCCCCTCTGGTTTAGGTCTCTAAGAGGAGGAAGCAGGATCCTACTGACCTAGACCCTTCCTAACTGGGTAGAAATGTCTACAGCTGTTGTCTATCGTTGAAGTTCTGCTGAAAAGGGAGCCCCTCCCAGAGCTGAGCCAACAGGACTCCTGGCCTGTGTCAACTAAAAAATCAGGGGGTGCTGGGGTTGGCTAAAGGAGTAGAAGATAGGGGCTCCCTGCCTTTTGCTGGCCAGTCCCCGTGACCTGTTCCTTTGCAGATCATGCTGCTTCTGGTGGCTCCCTTCACTTACAGACCTGAATGTTAGTTTTCTAAAATTACACAGCAGGCATTTTCCAAATTCCAAGGATAAGGAATAAAGAAAGATTGAAGGAAATAAAATCATTGTCAGGTCACAGTTCTGCTTCTTAGGCAACCACATTCTAGCTCTTAAGGTTACTTTTCATTCTGAAAAACTTAGTGTAATTTCCTCATATTCTTGGTCCTTCGTCCCATGTGGGTGCATCTATCTGGATTCCCCTTCATCGTCTTGGCCTGAAGAACTCTTGAAGTTGCTGAGGGTATGTGGCCTGGAGTAGGGAGCTCTGGGAAAAGCTTTCTGGACTCTCAGATCTTGGAAGTATTCTGCAAGGAAGAGATGGAAGTCTCATTCTCTGTAGTTTCTAAAGACATATCTTGAACTCATGGGAAGAAGTTACAGGGAGACAGATTTTAGTTTAGTATTTTTTATTTTTTATTTTTTTTGCTGAGCTGATATGCAGCCTCATTTAGTGTAGTATTTAAGAAAGAATATTCTAAGAATTGAGTCTAAAGTTAGAGCTGGCTACTGCGTGAAGCAGTGAGTTCCTTGTGTATGATGATGGTCTGGTAGAGGCAGCCTGGTTTCATTTCAGCTCAATAAAACTTACAAGGCACTAGCCGGGGCCCTCCGCTCATCTCTACACTCTTCCCAAGTGATCTTACCTACTCTCACGGCTTTAGTTTTACTTAAATTAGACAAATGATTCAGCAGTCTATATCCTTAGTCCAGACCTCTCTTCAAAACTGGATATCGACTGCCTCATAGACGTCATTCCATTGTCAGATGTCTCCTAGGCACCTCAAACTCAGCAGGCATTGAGTGCTTACCATGTGTCAGGCATATCTAAAACTGTATCCCAGACTCCTCCTTCCTTCCAGTGGTGTGCTGAGGGTGAGACAGTGGGAGCAGTCACCGCCCCTGCCCCTCAGTTTGGGCAGAAAGGGCGTACACTACATGTAGAGAATTTTAAAACAATAATAAAATTGACTTAAATGCTGGCTTGTTCTGGGTGTCGAATATGCTCTCTATGCTACTGCCGCCTTCTTTGTATCTATCTTAGCAAGTGGCATGAAGCTAACCATGCCATGCACCTTTGAACTGGGCTCCACTGTGTTCTCTCGTTGGGCCCCACATCCCATTTGGTCACCCAGGGCTTCCGTTACATCTCTGATGTCTGTTCCTTGATCGCTGTCTCTACCACTACTATCTCTCCTTGCCTGGCTACTACTTTTTAGTCTGTTGTTTTTGCTGCCCCCAGAATAATCTTGGTAAATCACAACTCTTCAGAGGCTCTCCATTGCCTGTGGCCAAGTTTTTCTCTTAGGTAGAAAACTGTGATCTTTCCTGGCTGATATTTCTGGTATCATCTTCCTCCATCCTTCCATATGCTACCCATGCTGCAATGTGAGGGTGGATTTGTTTCTTTCTTTCACTGTCCATTCTTCTGAACAAACTGAGCCCTTTCTGGACAGGAGTTAAGTCTTACTTTTTTTTTTTTTTTTGAGACAGAGTCTCACTCTGTTGCCTGGGCTAGAGTGCTGTGGCATCAGCCTAGCTCACAGCAACCTCAAACTCCCGGGCTCAAGTGATCCTACTGCCTCAGCATCCTGAGTAGCTGGGACTACAGGCATGCGCCACCATGCCCGGCTAATATTTTTCTATATATATTTAGTTGTTTGGCTAATTTCTTCCTATTTTTATTAGAGACGGGATCTCGCTCTTGCTCAGGCTGGTCTCGAACTCCTGAGCTCGAAGGATCCACCCGCCTCAGCCTCCCAGAGTGCTAGGATTACAGGCGTGAGCCACTGCGCCCAGCCAAGTCTTACTTTTTGAGTCCTAAGTTCCTGCCCCACATTAGGCATCAGTGCATGTTTAGTTGAATAGATTTGTATGGGTAAAACAGCATCATCAGGTAGAGGGGGAGTTAGTGGGTAAATTCTAACTTAAAGAAAAAAGCAAGAACAGACCCTTGGTTTAAATTCTGACCTCTTCTTATCCTTCTCTGTGGCCTCTTTTCTATCTGAAAAAAGCCTGTAGCTAGAGGCTTAAATATGAGCTGAATCCGGTGCCCATGTATCTCTAAATTGTGTGCTCTTTCTCTCCTCCTGTCTTGTCTCTCTGCCTCTCTGCTGTGACAAAACAGCAACAACAAACTGGTGCATGGAAAGAACGTAGATGCTGGAGTCTGACAGAACTGGGTTCAGTTCTTGGCACTGTCATGTTTTAGCTGTGGGACCTTGGGTAACCTCTCTGAGTCTCATTTTCTCATCTGTAAAATGTAGACAATAGTACCTACCTCACAGCATCGCTTTGAAGATTTAAATGTGAAAAGGTAAGTAAGGTTCTCAGCACATTGTAAGCTATTAGAAAATAGTAGCTGCTGGTATTAGTTTGAAGAGAGTCTCTGGGCTCTCATACTTGGCTCTGAGGGCTGGATCTGGAGCCCAGTGCTCATGATGCTAGAGGTGGGATCCCTTTCTTGGGTGAGGTGGGAACCACAGCTAATGGGATGGCCTTCTGGGATCTATTTGTCCTGTAGACTCTGTTGGACTTCCTAGCTTAAGTCTCCATACCTGGGACATGGGTGTGCCAACTTGTTCTCTCTTCCCTTTTTTGTAGGCTCCCAGGCCAGTGCCAGTACTTGGGCTTGCCAGTGGCGGATTACTTCAAGCAGTGGATTAATCTGAAAAAGGTACTGTGTGTGAGCTCTGCCTGGGTGCTTCCTCTGGTTCTCCTGGGCCTCAGAGCTCCCCTCCCTTGCTTTCTTTTCTCATCTCTGTTCTTTTTCCTCTTCTTTTTTGTTCTTCTCTTTTCTTAACATCCCTCCTTCCTCTTCCCTAGCTAATATGCACGGAAATGTTGTGGTTATTTCTGAGAGTGGGGAGCTGCTTGGGGACCAGGCTGCTGGATGGAGCGTGACGCTGCCCTAGTTGGTGTCACCCAGACATGCAGAGAAGTCCCAGTTAAGTCTTGCTCAGAGCTGAATCTCTGGACTGAGCTGTGTTGTCTCTAGGAGAGATATGGCACTAGCTGAGCCTCTGGGAAAGTATTCTCCTTTCATGTCATCATGAGTGTGGCCTCTGAATCTCCTGACTGGCCTGGTATCTCCCTCCGGTTGGGAATTGGAGTTCATTCAAGCTGGCTTTGGTCCGGCTGAGCTCCAGTGGAGCCTTACTTATGTGAGGAAGGGCCATGGAAACTAGAACCTAATTCCCTTTGGGCATGAGGGAGGAGGCTGGCACTCACGCAGCAACAAGCACATGGAGAGGTCCTCTGAAGCTGGGGGCTGGCAAAGACCCTGTGTAGGTATGATGGTGGGTCCTGGCAGAGGATGAATCACCCAGAAATCTGTACTTTCCTAGTGTGTTGTACTTCCTAGGTTAGCAGAAGAAAGGATGTGCAGGACTAGGCTCCCCAGATCCCTGCTCTGGGAGGATTTTTGCTTCAAGAGGTCCAGTCCACTAGGGAGACTCACCCTCATAAGTCATTTTGACCTAAGGACAACAGCCCTGGAGCAGCCTCAGGAAGCTCATGCCACCAGTCAGCTTAGTGACTCCAGGAAGCTCAGAGAAGATAGTGGCTCCAGGGGCTCAGAGAAGAGAAAGTCCACTGGGTGGCCAGCCTTGGTATTACAGGGATTTGAGTTTTGAACCGGACATTCAAAGAAGGAGGGATATGGACACGAGGAGGAGAGAATGCTTTCTTGGTAGGAAGAGCAGCATGCTTTTGGTGTGTTGTGGCCTGGACCTAAGTGGGCAGGTGGAGGGGCAGTGGAAGAGAAAGTTTTGAAAGTATTTGTACCACACTAAGAATGACCTTGGACTTAGTTCCATGCTTTGCAGCAGCATTTGTAAAGTCCTTTGCACTCTGGCTTGTCCGCACTTTGACCCCTACCCACCTCTCCTGTTGATTTCCCATACAACTGAGCAACTGCTGCTTACTACTGCTCTTTGGCTGAGGAGGCTGGGCCCTGCCCTAGCCTCGGGCCTCAGCCTGTGGCCATCCTTCTGTCTGAAATGTCCCCCAGGCATATTTCTTCAGGCTTAGTCCTTCTCCTTGAAGATTCAACTCAGGTATCACATCTGCTGAGAAGAGACTCAACTCAGGTATTACATCAGCAGTCAGTGTTGAGGCTCCTTGGCACTTGGGCTGTCAGTTATCTCATTTGAAACCGAGTCCATGTGTGTTTCCTTCCAGACATGTCCATCTGGAGCACAGAGACTGAATGTGGTTCTTCTCTGTGTCCCTGGTGGCTAGACCAGGGCTAGGTATAGAGTATGTGCTAGTGAATAATTGCTGGCTGACTAACTCATCTTTGAGAACTGACTCCATAGAGGCCCTCCCAGGCAGGGTTTGGTGGGGCAGCAGTGCAGGTGTGGCTAGGCGTGCTCTTCTGGAAGACAGCGCGCCAGCTGTCAGAGCACATCCAAGGCTGCTTGCTGGCCTCAGCAAATGCAATGTGAAGGCCCGGCCAGGCGAGGCAGGCGCTGACCATGAGCAATTACTCTGTGAAGTTCACTAGACTTTTTGGTGTATGGATAGCTCCCTGCCTCTAGGTTCCTTGGCAGAAAGGCAGGAAAGCAGCCGACCCGTGTGGTAACATTGCCACCCAGGGCCACGTTGGGGCTGCTGGAACCAAAAGGGTGGAGGCAGGCTGTCCTGAGTCTATTCAGCTTGGTTCTCTGCCAGACTGTGCTGAGCTATAGAGGGTAGGAATGGGTATGAGGGGAAACTGAGGATGCTGTTCCTGGTTGGCCTTGTAATTTCCTCTCATGAGGTGAACTTAGCAGGTCTGGGAAAAATAAGGGGTTTAACCCTTTCCCCTCTATCCTCCAGTCATGTCATGTTCCCGGTGTGCTTAAGGGCCCAAAAGGAGAGATGACTTAACTCTGGGCTGGCCTGTTCCTTGCTAGCAGCTTTTGAGGCATAGAGGCTGCAGAGTCCTGGAGGCCCAGGGGCATGGTAATCTTTCTGACCTTTATGCTGTGTGACTTAGTGCAGGCTGCGCTGAGATTCCTGCTCCCTTAAGAAGAGTAATGATAAAAGGAAAGCCGGAGGGGTTATTGCCAAGGTTGCAGAAGTATTATGTAAAAGCCTTACTCTGTGCCTTGTTTCCCCCATGTGACCCAGGCTCTGACAGAGTCCTCTCTGGTCCTTGATCTTACTTTATCTTTCCTCCTTCCCTTTTTTGTCTCCTTTTCCTCAACTCCCCTAGCAGAGTTTGCTGCATGAAAAAGATGGGAAGGGTCCTGGTCTGATTAGCCACCTGAGTGAGTGAGCAACTGGGACTGAATTCCCCATCCTTGTTTCCTAAGGGCTTTCTTTCAGCTGCCCTCTCCTCTCCCCAGATGGTGTGGATTGCATCAGGAAATAGTAACTTTTCAACGGCCGGGTTTCCACATCTCCTGCCTCCACCTACTTCCCCTGTAGCAGAGTGGAGCAAGCCAGTGCTCGCTGACATTTGGGATGTCATTGAATGATCTTATATTATTATTGAGCTGTCATCTTAGAGAGGACTTGGGGCCCTGCTCCCAGTTCCCTCTAGGAGGTCAGAGCCATCACTGGGGGTCTGGAAGAATGTGCACACACACAGACACAGACACACACACACATGCATAAATATACACGTGTACTCATGTGAATGAATGCACCCGAGTATACTCTAACATTGTATATCCATATCTGTACATGCATGTGCACATACATATTCACATAAACAGTCATCTGCAGAAATATTTGGAAATATACCCAGATATGAATGTATTTATTAATATAAATATGTATTCATAAAGTGTGAAGACACATGCACACAGATAAACATATACATCTTCATCAATAAGCACATATTCTTGAGTGCCTTCTGTGTGCCAGGTACTGTGCGAGGTCCTGAGGATATAACAGAAAATACGGATGTTGAACAAATAATTTCAATTGCATTGAGTAACACTAAACAATTCAGAGTCATATATCATATAATAAGGAAATGCCTTAGTGGGATGGGGTCAGGGAATAGTTCCATAAGGAAGGATGTCTTAGTTGAGACCTGAAGGTTGTGTAGGAATTGGCTAAGCACAGTAAACAGCATGTGGTGAGGCCCTGAGGTGAGTAGAAACCTGACAGCTTCATGGAACTAGAATGTAAGTTCCAGGAGGACAGAATTTTTGTCTCTTTGGTTCACTGCTCTATCCTCATCACTCTGAATAGTTTGTAGCACACATGTTTGTTATTTGTTGAATGAATGACTGCCTAAAGCATACTGAATGTGGCAAGAGGAGAGTGGCCTGAGGTGAAGTTGGAGGGGGAGGCAGGAGCCTGTAGACCACACTTTGATTTTGACCTTTATGTTTAGGATAAGGGGAAGATATTAAAGGGTATTAAACATAGGAGAGGCATCATCTAATTTGCATTTTATAAACACTCTCTGGCTGCAATGTAGAGAGAGCTACAAGCAGATTTGGGAGACTAGTTACTGGTTTTTCTTAAAGGGGCTGCATTTGGCATTTTTCAGGTGGGACAAATCATTGTGTGGGTGATATTGCTGAACTTGTAGTATCCCCAGCCCCTGTTCATTGAATGCTGGTAGTGTCCCTCCCCAAGTCATGTGACAACTAAAAAATGTATCCCACTTCTGTACATGTCCAGTAGATGGGGTGGAAGTGGGAAAGTACTGTCCTTGGTTGAGAACCAGAGAATTAGACCATTGGTGTAGACTAGGTGAAAGATGATAGTTACTTGGTTTAAGTTGATAGCAATGGAAATGTAGAGAAATGGACTGATTCCTGAGTGTTAAACAATATAGTTAGTTCTGCTGTAATGTAACATATAGGTTCCTGAAAATCACCATGCCACAGAAAGTTGTGCAATACAAATTTTATTAGGAGTACAACACTCAAAAACTTCATCAGTGACACATTAAAAAAAGTTAGGAATCTAATCAAAATGGTAGGGTAGGCAGGGCGTGATGGCTCGTGCCTGTAATCCTAGCACTCTGGGAGGCCGAAGTGGGCGGATTGTTTGAGCTCAGGAGTTTGAAACCAGCCTGAGCAAGAGCGAGACCCCGTCTCTACTACAAATAGAAAGAAATTAATCGGACAACTAAAAATATATAGAAAAAATTAGCCGGGCATGGTGGCACATGCCTGTAGTCCCAGCCACTTGGGAAGCTGAGGCAGAACGATTGCTTGAGCCCAGGAGTTTGAGGTTGCTGTGAGCTAGGACGATGCCATTTGCACTCTAGCCCGGGCAACACTGAGAATCTGTCTCAAAAAAAAAAAAAAAAAAAAGGTAGAGTAGTTTTATACATGTTAAATGGTTAAGAAATACATAAATACTACAATAAATATGACAAGTTACCTTGAAAAAGACCCATACTTTGCTTGTAGAAATGGGCATGACAAGGGTTGTAGATTGCGAGTTATTGTGAAATGGTAGAAGAAGATAGTGTGACATCAGATGGAAAGTTGTGACCAGATGAATGTAGGCTATTATAGCACATTGTGATCAAGCTCGCTGGTTGACTTTAGAGGTATGTACATGCACGTGTTTTGTATATTCCTACACAGCTCTGTTCAGCTGAGTATAGTTTCCTATGTTTATCCAGTGTTTCTCATGGACAAAATTGCAATAAACAAATGCAAAATTTATGTTATGCTAAATTGTTCCCTAATACATCACTTGCATTGGAACAAATTT